GGAAGTTGACACTCATAATTGGTGGTAAGAGTAAAAAGTAGCCTTTTTGGTGTGTGGTTGACAATCTGTGTGTGTGTGGGGAGGTGTATGTTATGTCCAGTTATAAATGAAAAAAACATATATTTGTTTACAAATTTTCCTTGCTGAATTGTTTGTAATAATTAAAGACTTGTTTTCCAGCAGTAGCAGAGCAATTAAAGTAAGGAGATTCACTCCTCCCCCCTAAAGTTTTATGTCTCAATTAAAAATAATGAACTAGATTTATGTGTTGGTAAGAAGTCTCTAAGATATATTGCTACCGCATTGCAGGACAGTCTACATGGCTCACTTACAATTTAATATTTAAAAATCTAAAAGGTATACATGTAAATGTATATATTTGTATCTTCTAGGATGTACAAGGAATTGGTAACATTGATTCTGAAGGGGAAGACTGAAGATCTGGTATTCTTGTATAGAATATTTCTCTTTTCCTTAAGCCCATATAAACCTATCAACTAATTTCTTGACACATAAATCAATTAAAGTATTATTTTTCAATAAAAAACAGGTAATTTTCAAAAGCAGCACTATTAAAAGAGGGAACGAGCTCTTTACATAGCTCTAAAATCAAAAGCTCCCCACTGGTCACTAGTTTTTCCACCCTGTCTTCACTCCACTTATCCCCATTTCCACCCCAAACTTACATGTTGTCTCTTCCACATGATAGCTTTGCAGAATCTAGAAACAGTGTCAATGGACCCCATCTAAGAATATGAAAATGAGGGCCTCCCTCTGAAGGCACTTTCAAGACAAAGAAGAATTCCAGAGATGAACTAACAGGATACAACGATGAAATAGGTACTACAGTGATATAACCGAAACAGAAGTGAAGTGAGGCTGAGCTAACACGGGGAAGATACAGAAAGAGACAGTGGGGGTGGCTCAGGGCATTGAGGAACTTTTTGCCTTTGGAGAAATGTCCCCCAGGACACCTCGGCTTGCTACATGCCTGTGACAAAGATTCTCAAAGGTGGGGCATGCAGCTTCCAAAAGAATGGCATTTCTGCTGCTCTTTATTGGCCCAATGCTTTTCCTGTAAACTCTCATCTCCCCTCAAGATACTGGGGGAGCCCAAGAGCAACAACTCATCTTAGTTTCATCACCCTTACTATTAGGGTTCTATTACCTTTGGTCACCTGAGTTAGCAACCCACAGATAATGAAGGCCAGCATCAGGAGATTCATGGCTACCGGGAGAGAGGAAGCTCTATGTCCTGAGCAATCCAGAACACTTTGCACAGCTAGGACTCTAAATGCAAATCATGGGTGATGAACCAGAAAGGGGGAGAATGACATGCTACCCAGATCACCAGACCATTAATTTGCAGCATTGAGTGTGCATGACACAATAATGCTTGGTTCCAGAAATTATTAGAGAAAACTGAAAACTTAAGACATGAGTTACAATTCTATAGGAATGTAGAGTCTGAGAAAAGAACTCCCAAAAGGAAGTCTTCCTTAACTCTAAATGAGGTCAATTTCTTTCTTTTTTTCTTTCTTTTTTTCTGATATAAAGATGACTGGTAAGGGGATCTTAACCCTTGACTTGATGTAGTCAGCACCACGCTCTTCCAAGAGAGCCACGGGCCAGCCCTAGATGAGGTCAATTTCTTCTCCTCTGTCCATATGCAGCATCTTGCATGCATCCAATGACAGCAGAATGGGTAAAGATACTGCTTGTGGCAGAGCAATAGCTCATGACATCCAGCACAGTATTCAGCTTTTCTTCTGAGTGATCACCCCAGTACTAATCCCTGTGAAACAAGGAAGACACTTTTTAACTGTTAAGTTCCTAAATTCACTGGTTTTGAGACAGAGGGATTTGGAATAGGGAGTGAAACAGGAAAACAGGTTTTATTGATGCTCTTCTTTTACCCATCAACTCTTTCCCCCTATTCAGAGATAGAAATAAGAAAATATTAAGAGAGAGGAAACATTTTAAAAGGAACCAAAAGAGAGAGAGGTTCAATGTAAAATTGTGTCCCCCTGCCAAAAAAGAGAAATACAGAAGGCATTTGTGAGACTGTCCAGCAGAGGTGATCAGCACTTTATCTCCTGGGGAAGTTTGCTAAGTTGTATCTCTCCCAGATATATTTAACACCACTAGATACCAAGGAAAGAAAGAAAATATGAAAAAAAAA